GGGTTAATTACAACAAAGGTGGCTATGTCTTTATCGACTAGTGGTTCATAAAATGACGAAACTTACCTTGGTATTAAAAACACACTTTACGCCTCGAAAAGGAGTAAATAATAAATAATGGTAGGTTTTCTAGCTAGTGGTAGAAAAAAATGTCTTGAGAATTCATCTAAAGGAAACTTCCTCGAATGATTTTCGTTTGGTAGCCAGCTGGGCGGCCAAATTAAATTCTTGAACACAGTGCCGTAAATAGCCTTTTCTGCGCCCTGTGCGAGCTTCGATAACTACGCCCTTATATATTGATTTAATTTCAACTACTTGGTATGTTAAAGTTTTGAATAGAGAAGGTAGCATAATATAAATTGCATTCAAGTATGAATTGGTGAAAAAACATTTATTCGAAAATATTTGCAAGATTATTTACAACTATACATAATACATAATACACAAATGATTGAGACCACAAATGAATGAGTTCAGATAGTGAAGATTCTTTCAAGCAAGCCATGAACATTTTCACAGATTTACTTTTCGCGCTTTCTTCATTGCGAAATCGTCGATAACTTTTTCATACGACAGGCAGCGCCCTATGCCGCGTTCAATCGACAAAATCGCTAGGCCGGTCAACCTTTTCTGGCCGATCGTAGAGCGCAAGTAAGTTTTTATTAGTTTGAGCTTACTGAATGATCTTTCGCAGGAAGCTACAGTCACTGGCATTGTTGAAAAAATCTTTATAGCGACTACTACATTGGGAAACATAACTTTCAAATCTAGTTCGACTATAGCTTTAAGAAGACCCAGACTTGTACTACGGTCACATTTATTAAATAATATAGTCGTTTCAGCTTGACTCTTTAAAGTGTCTAATTCAGCCTAAAATTCAGTATTATTAATATCTGCTGAATATTTGATACTCAAATCAGCGGCATGTTATTTTAGTTCTTCAGCTGGATATTTAGCAATATTTTCTATTGTCAAAAAATTAAAAAGGTGGTGAATATTGTGAAGTTTCTCGAATCTCCATGTGAATTCAGAAATCATTTTATCAATTGCTTCATACATATTAATTTTGAACCTTTGCTGTGGGGTAATATCGTAGCCGGCGTCTGAGATTTCTCCAAGGTCTTGTCTTTTCACTCGCTTTTTACGTTTTTCCGGAAAATAGTCCTCAATTTCACATTCTACACAAACTTTTTCTGCCTTTTCAAAAACGTTATCTATAGTCTCGCGAATATTCTGAATCTGCCTTATTAATCCTTTGATTAATTCAGAGGCTTTGTCAATAGCAATAGTTTTCGACTGTAAAGCTACGTTCACCCTATCAACAGACTCTAAAACTTGATCCCAAATTTGGCATGTAGGTAAGTATGTGTTGGAATCGAGCACTAGGGGCGCAGCAATAACGGGAACTCATCATGAGCAAACCGAAACAATGATAGTCCTGCCTGCTTTGGCCATTCTTTCTTGCGCCCCCCAGAGTCTACGCCCTGTGCCTGGGCACCGGTGGCACCGCCCTATTTACGGCACTGCTTGAACACTCGCCAAAGTTATGTAGTTATTATATTCTAGTTTGTCATAGATTTGTCGGACGTTTGTAGATCACTGAAACTGTACAGTTTTGGGACGTTTTCAGCAAGTTATTACGCGGAAGAGAGACACAGGAATTCTGGTACGAGGATAATTTCAAAAAATGATATTCGGTCGCTCAATTAGGCAAACTATGACCTGTCAAACTATGCACTGGTTGGCACACAATGAAATTATTCAGGTGTGTTTTTATAATAATATGCTAATTCCTGGAGGAAAACAACTACTGACTGGCGTAATTTCAACTAGGAAAAAGCTAAATACCCAAAGTGGAATGCAATGGTCTATACCCAGCGAGCACAAAAACATCTCAGAGATGTTAAAAGTACGAGATTTCGAGACATTGAACCTCCACTGCGATGTTCTGTTCACACATGATCACATGAATAGAACTATTATAGAACAGCCAATGTCCGCCGCAGGCGGCAATTATCGAGATGTCCTTGATATGTCACAAAACTATCTTCTCCCTAGTTCTTTTTGAAGCCTTTTCATGGACACAACAAAACATTTTCAACGCGTCTTGCGCACATTAAATCGCTGTAAAAAAACCATTTTCGAGGTACTTTTCTGAAGCCTTTTGTCAAAATGAACTTTTGCATTAGGATTCCATTTCCCTTGGATGAAAAAATGCATTAAAAATAGATTGAACATAAAAATATTTTCTTGATATGAAATTACCTTCTTAATCGGTTTCTGAGTAGTGCTTACAGACATATAATTGGAAATAGGTTCTCCAATTTTTGAAATGTTCTCCACAATGCATAATTTTGCAACTGCGGAGAAGCTGTGTATTGATAAATTCGTACTTTTATATATTGATTACACTGAGGCACCGAACAACACATCTTGCATCTGATGGTCATTATTACAAACTAAATAAGTCTTCTAACACAATAAACTTCACCAAATTCCTTTCTGTTCGTTAGCAGCGTGATGTAAGCGTGATACGCTGCAAACGCGAATGCCAATTGCGAACAAGAAGAACAAAATCGAGAACAAATCAGAATTCATCGTATTGTGACGTAAGCATGAGACGTTGTGGTGGGGCAAACAAAGAAAGGGCACAAAAGAACAAAAACAATCCTTTCAATATCCTTCTAAGACCTCTTTGGGAAGTGCATATTACGCCTCAAAAAAACATCCTCATGCCTACATTTCTAAAACATCCCAAAACATCCCAGGGATACCTCTCAGTAGGCAAACAAAGAAATGCCACAGAAGAACAAAAACAATACTTCAATATCCTTCAAAGACCTCTTTGGTCAGTGCATATTACGTCTCAAAATAACATCTTCATGTCAACATTTTCAAAACATCCCCAAACATCCCAGGGATGTTTGTGCTCGCTGGGTACGAATTATTGCATAGATTTCGGGAGGATGTTATCCAATATTCTGCGTGGCATATAGCCAGGAAAGTAGTTGTTTTCCTCTCGTTATCTACCATTTTCGTTCATTTTATGAACTATTTTGGTAATGACTTTGAGTTTATTTCTATTTTTAACTATTTAATTGTTATAATAACATAATTCTAGGGATTTTACATAAGGTGCCAACTAGCCGCCATATTGATTCTAACCTGAGTTGGATTGCCTCATGGCGAAAGAACTGTCGAGTTTTGAAGGTTACGTCACGAATCATTTGTCATCCGGCGGAAATTCTGCCAATAGCTCAGCCATTCACGAGAGCGCATTTTGGACCTGTCATGTATCTTGCTCACTCTCACTTATGTGTCGAAACAACAACAAACATGACTCGCTGTCATGAACGAAAGTTTGAGGGTTCCTGCGCATTGAGAAGAAGCGTTTTCAGGCGAGCAATTTACATATAGCGGTCTGGGCAGTATTTATGTCAACGGTGACAACTCCCACTTGTACCAAGGGGGCAAGCTTACCCCTAAAGCGGGAGGGGGGGGTACACGTTAGGTTAGTTAGACGGTTGATCGGCGCTGGTACATCCAAACTATGTCAAGCTAGCTAGGTAGTGAGATCTTGATGGTCCATTAAGTGATGGGTACTGCTGCAATTCAACACGTGACACTATCAACAAGGATTTAATCACATTGCATTCCTTTCTTCTAATGAGTAACATTTTCAATCTCACCAGATGTCGATACTTGAGAGCTTGAGGTCTACGTCAATATTAAAATTCTCAAAATTTTGCCAGATAGCCCTAAAGTCTCCAATATTATGAACGATAACAAAAACTCAAGGTAAGATTCGACTATAGAGTTAGCTGGTGTACGAATAGAGAAGAAGATATACCTATCAGTTCTACCAATCTTGCCCTTAATGACCTCACGTCTATGTAGCGCGATCTAGTGGACAATCAAAACAGATTAGCCCTCATTGAGCCACTAAGAATAATTATCGAAATGAGCAGATGGGCGAGTGGTTCACCCCTCCTAATTTATGGTATGTTAATTCCTTTTTTCGTATTTCATAATAATTATATTGCATAATTTATGCAGTTGCTATTCGAAAGGAAGTTTGGAGCAGCAACTGATGTCCATATTACAGATGCAACCAAGGACTGGTTGAAGTTTACGAAGAAACATATTTATTTATTTATTGAACAAATAACTTCCAGACAGAATAGGCTCTGGTATAAGGAAGTACATAATTATATACCTATAGGTAAACATAGCATCATTCAAAATATATCAACAACTGTAAATTGGCAAACAAAGAATAATATTTGTAAAAAAAAATAAAAAAAAAAATGGCAAGTCTCGAGTCGAAAACAAAATAGTAATACCTATCTGATTGAGATTTCATTGATATCTAGGATGACTATACACATTATGAATCTTGTATTTGTATTTTGGTAATTTTTATTATTATTAATCAATTTACAATAATAATAAAGATTGATCCGTAGTAAAAATGTCTTAGAAACGTTTTAGTTACGTTTGAAATTGGTAGTAATATCGATTCGACGATAAGATAAATCATCGTTGATTCAATCTAGAAGATCAACGTTACCTGAATTCTAGAATTTTACGTTTAATGTTAGTGTTAACATCAACGTTTAGAATTCGTATATCAGCAACATTACTTTGAAACCAAGTTTGAAACCGAAATACATCGTTATATTGAAACCGTATAAAAAACGTTGAGAAACTGTTGATATGTATGGTTACGTCGGAACTGAAATATAACGGTATATTTCAGTAGAATTCACATTACGTGTGCAACTTCTTAGTTACGATGAAGAGGTAAAGTTACTGTTGAACCAGAATGAAACGTATTGCCTAACGACATTTTGCCGTTTTTTCAACGATGAATAATAGAGGCGTTACTTGAAGAATTCAACGTTTTTTCCACGTAGCTGTGTTTATTGGGATATATGACTTCCACTTGACAGTGCAATATTGACCTACCTACAGACGTAAAATAGAGAAAAAATGCTCACCTCGAGATCATCATCGTTCGGAGAGACTTCGGCCAGGTCTTGCAGCTGCGATATCTTCCTGTCGAAGATGCACTGGTGCAGCTGGTCGTCGAGCATGCGGAAATTGTCGAAGCTGCGCTGGACGATCCAGCAGGCATCGCCCGACGTCACCTGCACCACGAACCATTCCACGTCGCTGTCTTCTGTCGCTGAATGAAAAAAAATTGAAAGTAAAACAAAAAAAATTATGAAAAGCTTTTATTTGATACCCATATTGCAGAAGTGCATGAATAACAATATGAACTATTCCGTCATCTTGGAAGTACCGCCATATTGGATTCAGAATAACGTTACATTATTTTCCGAGTTACCATCAACGAGCCGTTTCATTTGATACCCAAATTGTGAAAGTAAGGTGAAAATAACTATTCCGCCATCTTGGATGGTCTGCCATATTGGATTTAGAATGACGTTACAAGATTTTCCGAGTTGCTCTCAACGAGCCCTTTCATTTGATGTCCATATTGTAGAAGTGAATTGAAAATAACTATTCCGCCATATTGGATAGTCCACCATATTGGATTCAGAATGACGTCACATTGTTTTTCCTGTTACTCTCAACAAGCCCTTTCATTTGATACTCATATTGTAGAAGTGCATTAAAAAAAACTATTACGCCGTCCTGGATGGTCCGCCATATTGGATTTAAAATGACTTCAAATTATTTTTCGAGTTACTCTTAACAAGTCCTTTCAGTTGATACCCATATTGTGGAAGTGCATTAAAAATAACTATTTCGCCATCTTGGATGGTCCGCTATATCAGATTCAGAATGACGTCACATTATTTTTAGAGTAGTACATACATCCATTCATTGCAAGTTATATAAAAGCTTTAAATTAAAAAATTACACTTCATCTTCAACTTCACTATCAGCTCCAACCACTGACTGACTGACTACTATCTAGATTGCTTTATATCATATCCCACCAACCCTAGGACCTCATGTAAATTGCTCATCTGAAAACCATTGAGGATGGTGTTTTGAGGCCATAATATTGAGTCGAAAAAAAATCTGTTCTCATATTGTTTTATTCGTTACGCCTGATGACGACGGAAGAAAAAAAACATGAAAAATCGTGTTGAGCTGTATTATAAGAGACAACAAGAAAACACATTCAACCTTGGAGCTTTTGCCTTGGATAGGCCAAAATGTTGAAAGGGTATCGAAGCGGGAATAGCTGTATTCAGGGGAGCCTTACATTGGCGCTGTTCGGACAAAGACTACTGGTATAGTATTCAAGTATAGGTATCTCGGGCGCCAGATATTTGATAAAGGTGATTTACTTCACTTGCTTCTACAACTACGTTGGTGCAAAAACCAAAACATATTTTATCAAAGTGAATCAGTGTAGAAAAATGAAGAGAGTAATTCGGTAATTAATTAGCACTATCAATTTGCACTGGGAGAGTCAATATCAAAAGTAAATGTATAATTTGTACAATTTTCAATATTTAATTTTATATTTGTCAACGAATTATTTCTCAATTCTACTTCTTGATTTGCGACTTATCTGAATGTACTATTTAGTACTTGGTATCTGTTCAACATTTTGAGTCTGTTTGCAAGTAATTCCCCTGCTACTGTCGACGATTTATTCATTGCGTCCTGTCTCTAGACGCTAGAGACAAAACATATCGCGAGGTTTGGAGTCACGAGTCAGCTTGCAGCTTCTCGCTTGCGACAAGTTTGCTCTATGCGCCGCGTTGACCGTTCAGATTTTAGAATAAAGCGGATGTCTTGATTATGACTAAATTATCTCAAGAAGACAATGTGAATATGGAATAATTATGAAATTGTTTAAAAGCTAATGCAATCTCTCAGAAATTGTTACTATTGTAGGTCATATCAAAATACGCTGTAGTGAAATGAGAGATGAGTGCAATAAAAAACCACTTTTGTTGAAAATAGTTCAATAAGCATAAAATGAGCGAGTGGTATAATAAACTTGAGTAGAATAATATTCTTAGTTCACGATAACAATTGTCTTTGATATATAATAGTATAATATGTAACAAATAATGTTATAAACGTCATTTTAGTAACGAGTGTTTTAAGCACGAGCGCAGCAGAGCGAAGCGAGAAGCAGCTGATCGCCTAGCATAAAAGTGCAGAGCTCACATTTTACCTTTCTGTGAGACAAGCAAATGCCACCTTGTCACAGAGCTCAGAAAATGAGAATGAAGTTAAAAATCCTACTACTGTTGAGCAACTTCAGGTAAACGAGAAGGAAAGAAAAAAATGGGTCTATGAGAGACTGACAATAAACCGCAGAGCACCCTTGTTCATGTAATGTACCAGTCCGCCAAAGGCTGACTACCCTTGAACAGGTCTAGATAACGCCTGTTGAGGTGAAAAATTCAACCGTCAATTTTCAACTGGCTCTATCTCCGCTCTCGTTAGTCCTACATTCATGAGCAATGACAATTATATTCAGGAAATGTTATCTACTTCAACTTTCTATAGGGCGGTCTTTTCGATTTAACGTATAATTTACGAGTTACGGGCATGAAACCGAAAAAAGTCCGAAAGTTTTTCTGATTTTTGACGAATATCTCGGAGCTCTCCAGGAAATTTTGTTTGCAAAATTCAGATTCGAATTCAGCACCTCCAAAAACATATGGAACCACAGAGAAACCGACTATACTTGAATTTTTTCCAAGTGATTGGACTATAGTACGACTGAAGGTGTGTTTGAAAAACTCTGTTACTACGGTGATTGTGTTACCATGGTAACGTGTTCAATTTTTTGACTGAATTACAAATTATTAATCCTTGATCCTTGATTAATCGATCATTCAGCGTGGTACAGCACTTATTTGACATTAGAACAACTAACAATTGAAGATACCTGTTATATTACTCATTTGTCCACGACTGTTGTACTCCCTCAGGCAAAACTATAGCCATTTTTCACACCAGTGAATAATAGCGGTGAATAATGGATACGCTACGCTCGTGACATAATCAACCTGAGTGAATAATAGTTCATTTAATGCGAGTAGAATACTATACTCCGTCCACGACTGCTATTGTCTTTGATATATAAATGTATTTTGAACAAATGTTTCATCATAACTTATTTGACATTGAGAAACCTAAGAATTGAAGATACCTGTAATATTAATTATTTGTCCACGGCTGTTGTACTTCCTCGCGTACCCTAGGAAATCTATAGTCCAGTGAATAATGGTTAATCACCGCTATTATTCACTGGTGTGAAAAGTGGATATCGTTTTGCTTGAGGAAGTAGATGTATTATGAATAATTTATACAACACTCGTGAATACAGGATTGGTTTTTGAATGAACTGAGAATAAATTAATTGATAATGAACAGAAGTGTCCCTTACTGTGGTCCAGTGAATAATGGTTAATCACCGCTATTATTCATTGGTGGAAAAAGTAGATATCGTTCTGCTTGAGGAAGTAGATGTAATATGAATAGTTTGTACAACAGTCGTGGATACAGGATTGTTTGTTGAATGAGCGGAGAAAAAATGAATTAATAATGGACAGAAGTGTCCCTTACTGTGGTCCAGTGAATAATGGTTAATCACAGATATTATTCATTGGTGTGAAAAGTGGATATCGTTTTGCTTGAGGAAGTAGATGTATTATGAATAGTTTACACAACAGTCGTGGATACAGGATTGTTTTTTGAATGAACGGAGAAAACGATGAATTAATAATGGACAAAAGTGTCCGTTACTGTGGTCCAGTGAATGCTGGTTAATCACTGCTATTATTTATTGGTGTGAAAAGTGGATACCGTTTTGCTTTAGGAAGTAGATGTATTATGAATAGTTTACACAACAGTCGTGGATACAGGATTGTTTTTTTAATGAACGGAGAAAACAATGAATTATTAATGGACAGAAGTGTCCGTTACTGTGGTCCAGTGAATAATGGTTAATCACCGCTATTATTCATTGCTGTGAAAAGTGGATATCGTTTTGCTTGAGGAAGTAGATGTATTATGAATAATTTATACAACACTCGTGAATACAGGATTGGTTTTTGAATGAACGGAGAATAAATTAATTGATAATGAACAGAAGTGTCCCTTACTGTGGTCCAGTGAATAATGGTTAATCACCGCTATTATTCATTGGTGGGAAAAGTGGATATCGTTCTGCTTGAGGAAGTAGATGTAATATGAATAGTTTATACAACAGTCGTGGATACAGGATTGTTTGTTGAATGAGCGGAGAAAAAATGAATTAATAATGGACAGAAGTGTCCCTTACTGTGGTCCAGTGAATAATGGTTAATCACAGATATTATTCATTGGTGTGAAAAGTGGATATCGTTTTGCTTGAGGAAGTAGATGTATTATGAATAGTTTACACAACAGTCGTGGATACAGGATTGTTTTTTGAATGAACGGAGAAAACGATGAATTAATAATGGACAGAAGTGTCCGTTACTGTGGTCCAGTGAATGCTGGTTAATCACTGCTATTATTTATTGGTGTGAAAAGTGGATATCGTTTTGCTTTAGGAAGTAGATGTATTATGAATAGTTTACACAACAGTCGTGGATACAGGATTGTTTTTTTAATGAACGGAGAAAACAATGAATTATTAATGGACAGAAGTGTCCGTTACTGTGGTCCAGTGAATAATGGTTAATCACCGCTATTATTCATTGCTGTGAAAAGTGGATATCGTTTTGCTTGAGGAAGTAGATGTATTATGAATAGTTTACACAACAGTCGTGGATACAGGATTGTTTTTTTAATGAACGGAGAAAACAATGAATTATTAATGGACAGAAGTGTCCCTTACTGTGGTCCAGTGAATAATGGTTAATCACAGATATTATTCATTGGTGTGAAAAGTGGATATCGTTTTGATTGGGGAAGTAGATGTATTATGAATAGTTTACACAACAGTCGTGGATACAGGATTGTTTTTTGAATGAACGGAGAAAACGATGAATTAATAATGGACAGAAGTGTCCCTTACTGTGATCCAGTGAATAATGGTTAATCACCGCTATTATTCATTGCTGTGAAAAGTGGATATCGTTCTGCTTGAGGAAGTAGATGTAATATGAATAGTTTACACAACATTCGTGGATATAGGATTGTTTTTTGAATGAACGGAGAAAAAATGAATTAATAATGGACAGAAGGGTCCCTTACTGTGGTCCAATGAATAATGGTTAATCACCGCTATTATCCATTGGTGTGAAAAGTGGATATCGTTTTGCTTGGGGAAGTATATGTATTATGAATAGTTTATACAACAGGCGCGGATACAGGATTGTTGAATGAAAATGATTTATTGATGAACAAAAGTGTCCCTTACTGTGTTGCGAATGCAGCGACTGGTCCATGCTGGTCTGCAGCGAGATGCCGAGCTGCGGCAGCTGCACGCGCTCGTAGTGAAAGTGCGCGCACTCCTCGAGCTTGGGGAAGCGGCACGGCTCGGCGCCGGGGGCGGGCGATCCCCCTCCGCCCCCCAACGCCGCCGCCTCGCTGATCTGCATGTCGTACGCTTCAGTGCATAGCGCCTGAAAATAACAGAAAAAATAATTCTTAACCCTTTACTCATTGGCAAACTTTTATCTGACACACAAAAAATATGGCATCAACATTTTCCAATTGGGATTTCAACCTTCATTTTTCCGCGCTGTCAATCTGCCAAAAATGATATGTTGTGGGGTGCTACAGGTTGATTTTTGTGATCTACCATTCAATTGGTATCAGATGGCATAATTCTTATCTCGTTATCAAATCGCGAAATTGAGTGCAAATCACCGCACAGAGAAGTGCAATTTTTCAATAATTTTGCTCAGCATAGTGTTTGTACATGCCTTTGGAACATACATCATTTCGTTATTTTTGCAGCCGGCTCTGGGACTATAACCTTTAGGAGGTATATATCCTATCTGATATTGCTTCTGTTCTGGTTTGGCTTCAAGAGCAATAGTTATTTATTATACAAGGGAAAAAAGTAGTGGATTTTAGCTCCAGGTTGTGTTGTCTGTGACAGAAGAAAGAACGAATCAATATTGAGAAGATATTACGTTATTTTGAAATCTGAAAATTATCGACGTGAAATTTTGAGTTTTTAACAATAGGGACACCTGAGTTGTAGGCATCTTTATCATTCTTTTGAAGTGATCAAATATCTGATGTCACTTCTGTCAGTCTAATTCTGTGATTTGATTTCAAAAAATTGCGAATTTAGTGGTTGTTTAGTAATATACGTAACCGCGAAGTCGAATGTAAGATAAAAGGACTTGCAGTTCTTTCTCGGAGACGGTATTATTGACTCATTTTTCGGAACTATATAGCACAACAAAAGCCATCAACAGTGTAAAATATAAATGTGATATATATCCGGGAAAAAAGTACTCAATTTTTTCGACGGGAAAAAAGTAATTTATGAAAAGTGACATTTTATAACCTGCCAACAGAGATGAAATGCCAAACTTTTTTCCCGTCACAGAAAAAATAACATTTTTCATCGGGCATAACGGGCCTTGGACCAAAGGACATTTCTTGTTCAGCATGATTTAATCTATCTAATCCTAGAATTTCACATTTCACCGTAGACAAGATTCAAATGTAAATGGTGCGTTCGTATATTTCATTAAAATTTCAAGTGAAATTCCATTTCATAGCTACAAGTAAAATTTTCCCAACCCCACCTTAGACTAAATTACAATAGAAAGACATCGTTCAAAACGTGGAATCCCAAATATTTGATCAAAGAATCATCATAGCAGGCGACCTATTTCTAATGTATTTCCAAACTATTTACAGTTCTGGAATGTTCGTTTGATTCATGGGTCACCAATTCTGTTTTGCATCGCCTCAAAATATGATACTACAGGACGCTACTCAATAGTGTGGAAAATGGTACGAAAATGATTCTGGAATTCCCAAATTTGTTCCTCCGACTGGAATTCGAACAATTATATATTTCCACAAAGAGAGAAATTCATAAGTCATTACCACAATAGTTCATAAAATGAACGAAAATGGTAGATAACGAGAGAAAAACAACTACTTTCCTGGCTATATGCCACGCAGAACATATCCTCCCGAAATCTATGCAATAATTCGTATTGACGAATAAAATCGCAAGTGATTCCTTCCTAAACGCCGAGCTGCGCTTAAATGGATCAGGAACACGTGACTACCTGCAGGCCGGTTTCGAGCTCTTGGCTCTCATCAGTACAGGGCTGTCCCAGATAGCTTCTTGACCGCTATCTGGTGGGAACCTGACCCAACAGAAACGCATCTCAGCATTTATATCCCACGAGGCGTACAATGTCCGCGAAATGAAACGCGAAAGCCGAACGCCACTCCAAAACAATCTCCCATTTCAGGTGAAATGGGAGTGGCTGGTTGCCCGACTGGCGTATTTTCAACTTCACAAAAAGAGAAACTCAAAGTCATTACCACAATAGCCAATACCCAAAATGGTAGATAACGAGAGACCATTTGTGACCATTTCATTTCACTTTGAGTATTTGGCTCTTTCCTAGTTGAATTATATGTTTCCAAATCGGAAATATCACGAACTGTTTTCAAAATACACGGGCAAAATTTCTTTCACTGACCACGAGCAAGTTTTCGCTAGAGGTATTCTATTATAAAATTACTTCTTTTCGTCAAGGGTTGCAGAAAAATACCACTTTTGGTTTTCTTCGTACATTTTCATAACGGTTGATAATTTTTCCGATTTGGAAACATTGTTTCGCGAACTAGCAATAGCAATAGCAAAGGAACTTGACAGATTTTCTTTCATAATCCTCAGGAACGAAGAGTTAAAAATTGAACCCAAAAAATGTTCAAGAATGAGCAAATGTTTGATGTTTTTTTCACACTACCAACATTAAGTGGGAAATCTAATAAAATTATATGATATAGGAACAAGATCGTTAGATCTTTCGGTTTATTTTTTCATAATCCTCAGGAACGAAGAGTTAAAAATTGAACCCAAAAAATGTTCAAGAACGAGCAAATGTTTGATGTTTATTTCACACTACAAACATTAAGTAGGAAATCTAATAAAATTATATGATATAGGAACAAGATCGTAAGATCTGTCTGTTTTCCACAAATTGAACCATTCCGTTATTAACGATCACTTTGAAGATCCCAAACGCTGAAACAAGAATGTTACAGCTTCATGGCTACCAAGCACTAAGCACCCCAGCTTTTCAAGACGTCCATCATAATTTTTCCAGTCCGTTTCCCGCAGCCATTCCTCAGATCTCCTCTTTATCGTCCGTCATAAAGTTCCCGATGCTCGTTAATTCTCCATTCACTCGAATAACGCGTTTGACCTACATGCCTGAGTTGGATATTGTTTTCCGAATGGCACTTTGCCATTATCGGTTATTGTTATGAGGATGCGTAGGTGGGATTGCATCGCGTGGCTCACATCAATAAGTCGAATTTCCAATTCCGATTTAGCACTCCCATCCCATAATTCCATGTCTTCATAGGCGTATTCAGGAATTAAATTTCAATTATCGCTATCTGTTGATTGCCAGTGCCATTAGGCCCATGATCGAGTCCGGCCAGGTTTACTTTGGGACATCACGTGATTCAACGCATAATTAAGGTTTGTTATTCTGTGGCAATTCGATGCATGTGTGACCAGGTGCTGTCTCAAACAGGCTGAAGTGATTCGAAGGCTTAGGGCCATTCAAAGGTAAACTTCCAAGGGTGCTACTGGCAATGAAAACCACCCCACAGCGCCTTTCGAGGTCCTGTTGAAGTACCCATGCACCACTACAAAAATAAACGAATCACAAAATCAATTACCCTTCTTAGATCTTTTAATCCATAAATTTGACAAATTTTAATTCTCTATATACAGTGTGGTCATTTAAGTGTGCAACATATGGGAATCTTTTTAATGAATTGCACAACCAAAATACAGATAGTGCCGAAAGTTGGTGCATGTTCAGTTATCATCTTAGGTGCACTTAAAATTGTTGCAAGTCAAACAGCATACAGGGTAGGTCAAAAAATATAAAAATTGTTTAATAGTAAAGTACGCTTATTTCAGAAAATTCAGCAAAATTTTAATGGGAAAAGTTGTTTGCAATTGAAAGTTATGCCAAAATACCAAAACATGGCCACCTAACACATTTTTTAGTTTTTAATTCTTTTCGTTAATAATTTGTCAATTTGTAATGGTTTTTATATTCACCCTGAACACTTCCATAAGTTAATCATAACAAAATCAGTTGATCATACCTTTGTTCAAATTCAAGCATATTTGTGCAATTTACTTGAATTTTAATTTTTTTAGCGAATCACAAACTTTTTGCAACGATATTTAGCTTACTTTAAAATTACGCAAACCATATATTTAACAAGGTAAAACATCATTTATGATAAATTGCAAATTTAAAAACTGTCATTTAATGTGAACATTTTGTATTTGAAATGTTTATGAAAAAGGGTCGAGAGGTTATGAGGCCACGCCTAAGACAAGATCTCACTAAGCTAAGGTGAATAGGCGACGTTGTTTCAGGCAGAAATTGGCGCAATACATGATTGTGCAGAAGAATTGATGAAGCAAGACTTCCTAGGGGAAAACCATTGCAACCTACTCGGATAACCAGGTGACAATTAATGCAGCCAACTTAATGGGAGTCAATTCAAAACTAGTCTTGGGCTGTTTGAACACCCTGAATAAACTGGGCAGTGAGAACAGATTGATTTTAGCATGAGTATCAGCACATACAGGGCATGAGCGCAACGAAGAAGCAGATTGACTATAGCTCCTTGTGGTATCGAATAAGCTATACAAAAGACAAGCATCGAATCGAGGATGCAAACCAAATCTCAAGAATGTCGGAAATATTCGCCAAGGATGAGACAGGCAAAGGAGTTTTTTGAAAAACCATCGCCAATATTCACAGACTATCAACTGAGTCAGGAAAGGAGTACAACTAGAATATTAGTGGGACATTGTAGGCTTCATAAACACCCGAGTCCGATATGTCTGGCTGAAGCACTGCTGAGCAGGATTTGTCAGGAAGAGGAGGAAACAGCAGTACACATTTTTTGCCATTGTGAGCCAAGACTAAGGTTCCTTACGCTGGAAGAGGAAAAACCAAGAGCCAAAGATACACAAGATATCTAGAAGTTATGGAGTCTCATAGAGAAGACGGGACCAGTCAAAAAACTCTAAATTTGGAGGGAAGACTGAGAAGGCCGCGGTGGGAAGGCAAATAGCCCTAAGCCTCCTTTCTAATCTAATCTAATCTGTTGATTTTTTTTCAGTAGAATATGACGCTAGACCTCGCGTTTGACCATCTGTTGGAAAAACGCCATCAACAACATAGTTAGTGCAGTAGTTGAGTATGGGTGAAGAAAACCCTATCGTCAACTTTTGGTCTCTTGAGAGAAAATCATTAGGAAACCTGACTTCATCTTCAATCTATTTTTTATGATAGCAAGTTCTCCAAAAATCCCATGAGTTGGATAATGATTAGCAAAACAAAACAACAAATGCTATTTATATACATATCTGACC